CGATTTCACTGCATGTTTTTTATTATGGGAGAAATTATCTTCATCTCGAATAAAAAATAATTGAAGATTTTTCCCCCGATCTTATATTTACCTTTCAGTTTCATTCAAATTGCTCTCCCTGTGACTTCCGTATCGGGAGCTCCGCTTTTAGGCAATGCCTAAATATATATATTAAAACATTAATGAGAAAAATTCTCCGCTTTTGTAATTAGACTCGAAATATTATTTCTATTTTACATTTTTTGATAACATTCGATCGATTGCCGTGGGGGAAAATGCGAAATATTCTGCCCCAATATGTATGTAAGATGTTACCGGTCGTAGCGTCATGTACAACTTATTTCCGTTCGATTTTTGCGCCACCAGAAACTTAAAAACTCTATACGTGTATGACATTGATTACCTAAGTAACTCATTAAAAAAGTGTTTTAGGCGTTTCGTAAATGGAGCCTTAAAAAGCACGCCATAAGGCGTTAGGAATCAAATTTAGCAGACAAGTTATTTGCTTTTCCACGGTAAATACTCAGTAAAATGTGCTTTGATCATCAGATAGCTTTGCTTACTTAGCGAAATGGCATCTTTTGAGGTAGTTTTCAAAAAATTTTATTAAGGATTAAAGTTATTCTCTTTGACAAAAAGGGAAAATGAAGAGAAAATATTGTCGGTAGATCTCTGATATATCGGTCACTCACAGAAAAGGAGGGATTCATTTTAATGTAATGATTGATAGCATCTAAGACTTCTACCGGAGTACTACTACAATAGTAGCAACGACAGAAGTATTGTTAGCGTCCGCAGTGATAATAAAAATGAAGATTGAGGTAGTAAAGGTGGGATTTATTTTAATGTAATGATTGATAGCATCTGAGAGTTCTACCGAAGTACTACAATATTAGCAACGACTGAAGTATTGTTAGCGTCGGCAGTGATGATAAAAACGAAGATTGTATGGATAGAAACGTTGATACAGATTGTATTTATTTAATTAATTATTTATTTATCTATTTATTCATTCATTCATTCATTTATTAATTAGTGACTTCCATGCAGATTACATAAATATTCTAAGAAATACGGGGAAAAAAATGGAATCCAAAAAAACAGACACACGTAAGCTACATGAGGGGCAGAGCGAACGGACTCGTGGTCCCATCGAGGCTCGCCCCAATAAAACAAAGTAAGATAATAACTAAGTAGAAGTTGATAGGAAAAAAGTCAATACAATGGTGTACAAAACACACATCAACAACAATTACAACAACCGATCTACAATGAGGACATACACAGGGGCGGCGGAAGCTGAAAAATTTTGGGGGGGCACTCCAATATTTCACGGTACCTTGAAATGACCCCCCCCCCCCTCCTCCCTGTTTAGCTTGATTACAAACGTGTATGTGTGATATTTCAATCAGTAACATTTTGCGCGCATTAAACCACTTGCAATTGTGCTGAGAGACACAAAA